AATTCGTCTGGAAATCATCAAGTCGTACAATCGTTTTCATACTTTAGACATGGAGGATAATATAAAGTTTGCGAAATATGTAGTCATGATGTTTTTTTTTACGTCTGCAATAACAAAGTTTGAAAGGTCTTTTCGTCTTTTGCATAATTGCTTGCGATGTTCCGACTCCAAACGGTACAATTATTTGATGTATTTTAACGAATCAAGAATGTTAAAATAGCAGTGCTGGAAAAATGAAAATTAGCCAATATTTCTGTCCATTTATTGCACTAGTCGCATGTATAAGTGAATAAAATTGCACGCAAAGATTTCAGGGGATGCAATTTTATAAAAAAAAAGGGCGAAGATAAGAGAAATGAGAAAAAGCGAACGAATTTTATCGGTGGCGACGCATCATCGATAACGCGCTATTTGCGTAATTGCACGGCGGCGGTTGCCGCGATAAGAAGCACCGGTGGTCGACGACTGGCTAAAAACGCTTTACATTTCGCGCATTTCCCGGCCCATCTACTCATCGAGTTTCCACCCTAAACGTTTTCCTTTTTTCAACCCCTCTCGCCCGGTTACCTCGGTTCACCTGGGTCACTTTATAGTCGCCCATTACCCGGAAAATTTAATCTGCATCGAAAGTGCGCCGTTAAGACGGCTGTATCACGGTCTCGATTCACGTCAGAATCGATCGCTACTCTAGGATATGATACTTCATTGGTTGAGGCGAAAAATTATATAATACATTATTTTTAGATAAAAGATATATACCTAGAATACCAGCTTTGATAAGAATTTATAGGAGATAATACCTTTGGGAAATTGAGGAACAACTAAACCATTGATTTGGTTACAAGAATAAATAATTATTTTCTGAAATCACATTAAAATTGATATATTTCTTACTTGTTTGCATGTACCAAATCAAACTAGCTGCCGGACTAATTTTTATTATGTCTAACAAATAATATGTTTCATTATCATACAAAATTCTACAGCTTGCACACTATAAAGTTTATAAAATCAAGTAGTATTATCATAAATCCTTATCCAATAAGTCCAATACTAATAATAATTACTACAACCAAACCAATTCTGAGACCATACTATAAAATTATAAAATTTACTCTTTTTGTAATAATAAAAATATCATTTGATCATTTAAAATATTCAAGGATATTGATAATTCAATTTTTTGTATATCATTAGAAATTCTGTTATAATGTAATCTACTATTTTCTGTATCATGGTAGTTATTGATGACAGAAGAGTACGGTAGAGTAGACATCAGTGTAAAGTCGTTTGACAAGTAATCCAAGGCTGGCTATCAAACTTCATCGAGCAGATATCTGGTGTTCAAATTGAACGTCACCCATTCGCGTTCCCGACGAAAAGCGTTTTGATGGATGTAGCCCGAAGGTTTTGGGACAGGTTCCTTGCACCATTGCGCAGCATGCGCCACAATATTTCCCACCCACGTATACATACACGTACATACGTGTTGACCGGCCTTTTTTCACGAGTACAGGTTGTACCATAAATAGTCGAAGCAACTTCACCGGGATAGGACACACAGAAACGATAAAAAAAACTTGCGCCAGCTGTTTCTACCGTGACAATCAATTCTATCTGGATATTCTATATTTTTTACGACTCTAATCTCCTCGCGTATCGATACTTCTCATTCCACCCATCGTATAAACCATCTCCATTGATAATCTCGAAAAAGAAAAACTGCTGACCATCTGAATTTATGTTTTGTGCGCGAAACAGTTTTAAATAGTACTCCTCCGAAGCTCCAAACAATTTTCAAACCACTTTGCCTCATTTCACCGCGATATCCTTCCATCCCGAATGACAAATGATCTGCGATTCCCCAAAAATGTTATCGGCTGCGTGAATTTCGTCGGCGCCGTTCATCACTCCCGGTATGCGCGTATAGTAAATTCTCTGCGTGGACTCCTATACATTTTATGATACAGACTGTACCTGTGTCGCGCGTGTCGCCGGCGACATTTCGGGAAAAACGAACGCGGGGAAAATATCATTCGATCTCCGCGAAAATTTGGTTGTGAATCTAGTCCAGGGAAATCACAAAAAAATCCACTCCGCCCTGATTTTTCAGTTTGTTATACGTCAAATTAGTTTATTCTGAATCGTTTTCATATCTGTTACACTAATCGATTTTTTTAAGGATATTGTCTACTTATTTTCGTTTAATTTAACTAGGAAATGAATGTGTGTTTGCAGTAGACGTAAATTATTCAAATTATTTTTCATCTCCTGTATGTGTTAAAAAATTGTTTTAATTTGAACTGAAAATTATTTATTCATTACCTGTTCGCTCATATTAATATTTCAATTAATAATTTCCTTTATATTTAGTATCTTCCAAACATTCCTGCTGTTTTACCTTGTTAAGTGTTGTCGAACAAATGAATATCAATTTACAATTAAATATTATTAAAGTCTTTTATTGAAAATTCTGTACATTGTTAAAGTACATCAAATATAAAAAATACTTCATAGAAACGCACAATTGGTTCCAATAAGGATACCAGCAGTATAAATGATACAATAAAACGAGCAGTGTGCATTCAATCCCGAAACGAATTTCAATTCGTGCTGCCCTGAATTATGAAAGTTAACATCCGTATGTCGGGAAGAAGGACTGTTGAATTATTATCTGATTTCCGTACTTGCCAGCCAGAAAGAATATATGAATAGTATTTCTCTTTTTGAGCAAGAATACGAAAGAGAAAAAAAGTGAAAGGAATCTCTGGGTTTTCTTAGATTCTTTTTAAATTTACAAGCACATGACGTTTTATCTTGTCTAATCATTTCTCGTGGAAAATTTTGTTAAGCGATAAAAGTGAGTAGACTTCTAGCATTAGGAAATTTCGCATCAGTACTGTTTTCCAGAAGAGAGATTTGCATTTCAGATTCTAGGGCCGGGGCTGGTAGTTAAAAATTTTATGATCAGGGTTTCTGGTTCAGGCGTTCCGTATATGCATTTTTAAAAAGAATTTTCTGAGACTATTTAAAGTAAGAATTATGGTTTCAAGATGGCATTTACTATTCCTTCAAAATCCTCCAGGTTATAAAATTGTTTGTAGTAGGATTGTATTGTATATATTCCATTCTTCTTTAATGTTGGTTCTTATATAACTTCGTTGGTTTTAATGGTAAGAGGTTCGCTGCCCCTTTTGCTGCAATACTGTTCTTTTAATTATTTGGCATTCCCTGATAAAAAGGGATCCAAAGGATACTTATGTCCACGTTATTATTTAAAAGTTCTATATAGATTTTCGGAATATATATAGTTTCACAATCTCCATAATTTGTAGAATATATGCATAGCAATATATCCTACGCCTGAATCACTTTCGATGCGTCGGTATACAGCTATCTTCGGTATATGCCCACCGATCAGGACCGGGATTGGCCATGTATCAGAAAGGGTGGATTTCCTATATAGAATCGTTCGCCGTTTGAGCGAATACTTCCGAGAATTCATGGGAATAACTGGCGACCATATGTATAGCCAGAGATTACTGTATTTGGGTACAATTCAAGGAATCTAAAGTTATGTTTGACAAAATTTATTTCGTCTGGGAACGACTGTCGAGAAAATTGAAAGCCGAAAGACGAACTTTCCTTATTTCTAAAATTCACTCGCATTGGCTACTATTTGTTTTCATCAACGTGGCACCCGTGCGTCAACACCTCGGCATGAGAATCCACGGACATAGTATGGCGTGGCATAAATCATTTTCGGCCAAGCGTTTCGCCGGCCGCAATTCACGTCATCGCGATGACGGAACACCATGAACATTCTCTCGAACGAATACTTTCCGCGGACGCGTTCCCCAGACGAGGAAATCCGTTCCTGACGCGAAATATTGCACGAATTCTTGAAATTTTCCACGTTGGATATTTCCGCATGTAGAAGCTGTTTGTTCTGTAATAACTACATATAGAAAATACTGTAAATAACTCTTAAATTTCTACTCTCATAGCCATTTTAGTTATTACTCAATTCAGTCTCATCCGAATGTGCTAATTCAGTGTCGAAATTATAAAACATATTTCATTATACAGAGTGTTAATCTTTCACGAATTTAGTGATTGTTCATAAAATTATATTGTGTTGTTTTTGCATATAAGCTAACATTTACGGGTTTTTGAAAGTAATAGTTGTAAGTTTTGTGAAGAGATATCGTTCAATCATTTATGATTTAAAATAACCATTGATAAAATTCAATCTCATCATTGCTAATCTAATTACATGTATTCTCAAACTGGCTGCAGACTAACTGCAAGCTTGACAGGCATGCATGATCAATCTCTTTGTACAAACACATTTGAACGTCTGTATGATTTTGCGCAGGAATCTAAATTGTACAAGCTGCTTGACGATTGATTGAATTTCAGTTATGCATGTTTGTGCAGGCAAAACGAATCGTGTCTACCAATTGGTTAAAGATTATATCCAAGCCTGCCAAATAATCCATGTTTATGGCATATTAAAACTCAAGATTACCATGATAAGCCGAAGAGGCATGAAGCGTATGATACATAATTAAAAAGACATAAATTAATTGAACCCAACGATAAGGATTCAGTTATGAAAGAGCCACAATAAGCGTATCGTTGTCCGATCTAGATATATTCCAAGCATAAAATGATGTTTGTTCAAGCATCTGTCTGATAGCAAAGATAAATTATGGGTGCTTGTATAGAACAATTAATCATGCATGGTTGTCAAGCTTGCAGTTACGTCTGTAATCACGTTTAAAATTGAACCCTGAAGATGAAAAGCAATCTTTATTAAGGATAACTATATATTATACTGTACCAATTACAATATTATATTTGTCGTACACATACGAATCTGAAATTTTTAGACTGACAGTATTCGAAGTGATTTTACGATTTTATTTAACACATGATCAATTATTATTAAATTCCCACAGTCAGGGAACTTAGGAAAATATTATTTTTTGTTACAGGACTTGCAATCAGAAATTGAAACACACCGAGACGTGTACGCGTCGTTGAACGGCACCGGTCGGAAGCTGTTAAGCTCTCTGGCTAGTCAAGATGACGCGGTTATGTTACAACGACGGCTGGATGAGATGAACCAAAGATGGCATCACTTAAAAGCGAAGAGCATGGCGATAAGGTGAGTGACAGATTCAGTCTCTCCTTTCTTGCTACCTCGTTTCTTCCATCCCTTTTCCCTCGTTTTTCCTTTCGTTTTAATCCAATTACCGTTCGCGGTGGGAACGACGACAGTTGGAAACCGCCACGCGCCGCGGCGAAGTTACCCGGGTAACAGGTGCGCCGTTTTCGAGACAGACGTTTCCATTCTGCGTGCTCACGAGCGAATCCGGCTACCGAGAAGTGGCCACGGAGAGAATTTCGGTTTCCTCGAAAGAGATTGCTGAAGAATGAATTACACTGCGGATAAGTTGAAACGCGATGGCTAAGAGTTAGAAAGGAATGAAAGAAATACTTCAGAATAAATTCTGAGTCAAGGATATGTATAAAATTTAGATATTATCAAAATTTAGAAAATTATGTAGAATTGGAAAGAACATGTAGAATCATCAAAAAATAATATTAAGAAAGCAGTGTGTATAAATGAAATTTATAAAATATATCTTAAAATATCTGACTATTTTCTAAGGTAGACATTTCTAATCCGGAAGTTCAGTTTCTCGTCTAAATTATGTAATTACTTTCATTAAATCTCAAGGCTTGTTTTTGAGAAGTTGCATTTTTCATCCCAGTGTTTTTCTTATTGTGTAATTCAGTTATTTTGTAATTACATGACTATATGTAACGTCATCAGATTATTATGGTCGTTTATGTGATTCTTGAACAGGAATTTAATCCCATATGGTATAATCCAAGCATTTGCTCTATTTATGATTCTCGAGTAAAATTAGTGAAATACATTTCTGACGAATTCATTTTAAAAAAGAAAAGGGACGAAGTTTCAACAATTGAATGAATATTTCCATATCGCGTTGTTAACGTAACGGACAAAGATAGGAGAAAACACAGGGTAAATCTTAAAAAAAAATTGATAAAACTGTGTAGCAACGGAACCGAGAGAATTATTCCCGTGACAACATCGTGCCGTAACAATGGCTTTTGACGCGCGAACAATTCCAAAGATTTCCATAACCTGGGTTGAGATGGGGGTCAGCGGCCCAGCGCGAACGCAGCACACAGTAGGTTAACTATGAAGCCGGAAATTCTCTGGACGCCATTCTCCTTTGATAACGTACCAGTTATGCGTTCAGTTCGTGGTAATACGTAAGCAGAAATTATCTAAAGCATCTAAAAAATACTTCGCTGCTACCACTCTCTCCCTCTTTCTCTTTCTGTCGTCAAGGAGAATCTTTGACAGTTTGTTATTTGATACATCCCCATCGGTATCTCGCATCAAAATCCTCACGGGATTGCACTGTCTATGAATCTTTGATACTGTGAGACTGCTTTGACATTCGTTTCATTGAGACCGTTGCCTCTGAACACGTAAACAGGTGCTACGCGTGAATTATTGAACAGCATATTGATTTTGAGAACATAGTGTTCATGTTCGTACAATTATTGTCAGAAGGCCGTGGTTACCCTGTTTTCATATTTTATATTTTAAATTATATTCTTATAAATATACCTTATGAAAGAGACAGACCTGACGAAGAACTTCCTTTTATTATAGTCAAAATGATAAAATATCTAAATAGTTTATTACGAAATCGGCAATGTTGAATTTTAATTTCGAAACACGTTTATTTATGAAACGAGCATTAGATATTTTTCCACGTTGATATCGACATCAGTATTTCCTGAATATATCCGATAACTAACTGGTCGTCAAAATTTAATCGACAAACAGTTTTGAACGCGCGAGGATTTAAATACTCTCTGGTTTCTTCTGTTTACCTTGCCCGGTACTGAATAAAATAATGAGAACCGCTCGTTAGTTTGTGAAATTCATAGATGAAAAATTACCGGCCGCTGTTTTAGTGTTCGTCACTGAAAAACTCCATTCATCTTTAAATTTTCGACGTAAAGATGAAAAGAGATCGTCGTCGTTAAGTTCTTTGAAATCCGTTGATGAAAAATTACCGCGGTCGTCGACCTGAAACGCGAAACTCTCGGGCCAAAAAGAAAAAGAGCTTGCACAATGAAAAGCTCCAGAGTCAATGTTCATTTATTGTCCCCGTTTCGCTTAATCAATTTTCCATTCTTATCGCTCACAAACTGTCGCCACCGCGCTGCGCTAATGCAAAAAAAAAGGGATGCGACCCGAATTTTTGCGAACAGTCAGCGCTCGATTTGCATCAGTCAGTTTATTATAAATCCTTCTTTGGATTTACTTCGGTAAGAAAAGTTCCGTGGCAAATCTCCCCTCGGAACAACTTTTCGACCACGGAGTTTCCCAAGGAACCTTCTTTTCCGGCGTGCCGCTCCGACGTTCCAATCGCTATTCAACTGATCGTGTATTCGCTTACGGATTACTCGGCGCCAGTATTGAAATCTTTATCCGTGGAAATTGTGAATTCTTGTTTCTGTCGTACGTGGCATAGGTACACTACGCATGAGTTGTCACTGATCTTTCGATGTATAAAGAAAGATCCAGTTCCCATCAACCGATTCTAGACTAGATTCTTAGATTTTCGTTTATTTACATAACCAGATTTGAAACAAATTTGTTGTGTAACAATATTTTGTTACACAGTGTGGAGGGAGCTTTAATCTAATGCATAAAAGAGGGAATTTCGTAGGATTTTAAAAAATGTGAAATTCAGTGCAATTTTTATGTAATATTTCATATATCGCGCAATAATTAGATTGACAATCTTTCGCTTCTTGCTATTCTCAGTTGAGGTGTATCTTGACAGATTTTGTTGTGTATACCGTTTTTTTTTTGTATTTTATTGTAGTAAAATCAGCAAAATAATCTCGAATGTATATGTATACATATTTTATTCATACACCGGAAGGAACAAAATGTAGTTCTCGCCACAGGGGAATTCCGGGTAACGCGCTTGCCGCGAATGCACATAATCGGATTCCGTGTCGCAGGGAACTTCATCGGCGGCGTTCATTCCAGACTTCGAGTCGGAGGTACCCGGGTAAACTTCCAACGCGACGGTCTACCTAGTCCGGACCGAACTATGCGAATTCGCGACGATACGATGCGACGCGGTGGCGCACGCGGAAATTTTCGACCAAAGTTGAACGCTTTGACGGTGGCCAGCCGAAGGGAAATTTACTGCCCGGGACGGAAGCGAAAGTTACATCTTCTTAAACCTCGGTCCACCTTCTTCAACAATCCGTTACTATTTCCTATATTCACGCTCGTTTATAAGCCATGGAATAATTTATAACAGATAATCGAATAGATAAATTTTAAATCCAATTGAATTTGTGATAACTAATGAAATAGACATATTAAGAAAATAGTTACTAATTGTAACATCATATTCATTTTGTCCTTCTGTTCTGATAGATGAAAAACATTTAAACAAATCATTTATCATTCCAATTAATTAAATGTAATATAAAAGCTCATTTTTCCTGATATTATTAGGTACCACAATTTTTCGAGTTTTTCGATGATTCGTAGTCGTCAGATTTTAAACTTGTCCTTAAGACTGAGAGTAAACCGTGTTTCAATTTCGTTTCAATTTCGAGACCTTTAATAAAGATCCAGCTTCTGTTTGAACAACGGGGAGAGTTAGTTTTTGCTTAGGAAGCACAGACTGTTGGTGCAGGGACGTTTTCGTCGAAACGAGTTGAAACGTTTGCACTTTATTAAAGAATATCGTAGACGAGTTGTTTATTGCCATCAAGTCTGAAACTGTGTAACTACTCGCGAGTAGATGTTAGATGAGAAGCTTAATATCGTATCTTGTTCTAGATGTTGTTGCAATTTTAAATTTCAATATTTTGAATCTCTGTAAAATGTAATTTAAAAGCGAAGTAATTAAAGCATAATTAATGATTTAAAGAATTTTGTAATCTCAATATTTAACACATGAAGCACGTAAAAATGTGCAGAATATTCGTTTAATTTAATGGAGAAATGCGTGTACAAGCAGGATATTATATCAGACAGATCTGAACACTATATTATTTAAATCTTTCAACTTTATTGTATACAATCCTTAAAATTCCAATAAGAATATAAAAGATTTCAAGTGCAGAACAGTTTTCACTTGGACTTTATCGAAAAATTCATTTCAATCTCGCCCGGAGCCGTAAAGTGTTGAACGGAAAAGGTTTGGAATCGTTCCGTAGTTCACGCGGAAAGGACTCGAAAATGTAAGTAGTGCCGATAAAGCAGAGTCAGCATCGGGTTAACCTGGATTGAGTCGAGCAATCAGTCTCCATTAATTAGTCCGGAGTCGGGAGCCCTGCGCAGCTTGATTACCGGAAGAAAGGCAGCCGTATTCGCGGTGGGACACGGAGAGGCAACCGAAAGCTGCGAACGGGAAAACTCACTCCTCTTCTCAAACCCTTTCGAGTTAACCATTGCGTCCTCGTTCCCCTGACTTCGACAATTTTTTCCTTTCTCGGGATTCTCTGTCCAGCTCTTTGAATCGGCGTCCGCCATATTTATCGGCGGCGACCGAACTTGGTACTCCTCTGGCTCGCGGATCGTTGCGTCGAGTTGCGTCCCGTCCCGAGTTCGACACGAAGGCCAACCCGCAATCAGACCACAAATACCGCTAGAAACGCTGATCCCGATAATTCGACCGACCGATCGTTTCTGGCACCGGTTTCAACGAGATCGGGAACACCGATACCCACCCGCCGATATGTTATATCGGCGGCAAAAGTTTCGAACAAGCGACCACCAAGCTTCAAAGTGACCGAGAGGTGGGGAGAATAGTAGACCGGGATGCTGCACTCCCAGTCTTTGTTCGGCTACGTCGATCGGGGATTGGCTTTTTAATAGAATGTCGCGGTGGATTTTCGATACTCTACTAGAATATACCACGTGTATCGATCTCAGTTTTTTTTTTTTTGTCGATACCGCTGGCAATTTTCTGATTAAGGGACAGAGCGTTACGTCGAGGAATTTTTATCGCTTAACTCTCATCCGGTTAGATACTTATTTTCTCTAAACTTTATCTATTCCTTTTACGTAAAATTGAG